TAAGTTTATATGCTGAAAAATAGCACTGAAATATTATACGTTAGTGTTATTTCATAAGATCCGTCTTTTAAAAGTATGCAGGATAACACATTTAAAAAATACACTCTTAGAGTACACAACGATCATCCGCATACCTTATAATTTTTCATAAACAGCTCGATCTGGGGAAAATCATTTTGCACTAACTTAGAAGCGGCCTTGTATTGCATCAGAAGCTTTGAACAAGCAGCAGTATACCTAAGAACAAAAAATTAGGAAAACGAAGGTTAGCGGAAGCAAGAACAAAGCAATAAGAACGCCGCATCACTACGCTTGACTAACATTACAATTTTTAATGATATCGTGGATTGTGGAAAAAAGAAAATCGATTCAAACATACTCTTTCGGAGGTACGCAATCCCTAATATACGCTTTTTCGAGACACTCCAACGTGTTCACCACGGCGAATAATTCTGCAAGATTATCATATCGCTCCCTTTCCACTGCGTTGCTTTGAAGCTTTACCTCCTAAATACACTTGAGAGTCACATCCACATTAGAGTCATCATTAAAAGTAGCTATGCTGTTAATTTTTGCATTATTATTATTATTATAACTAATTTTTACCTCCGCCATGCTACATAAACTCTGAACACTAGCAAAGCGAAACACTTAACAAATCGGTAACGTGGCTTGATGTGTTATCGAAGGCAGCATTGATTCGCATTTTGCCCTCTTTCCGCCCATATATCCATTATTTATGCCACATCCGCGCTGAGCAAACGTCAGCCATTGTTCGACACTGCTCTGTTGTGACAAACTTCGACCATCTTCGTCAATTTATGAACGTGAGAAAACGCGAATTTAGGCAGAAGCATTGGAAACTAATCCGTTCTGTCGCTCATATTGTATGCTTTATACACAAATGGAGATTAAGTTGTAGATGGTGCCACTGTATCAAATAAACAACGTTGATCCTTCTTTAGTTCAAGAGATCACAACTGCGATGATTAAAATGCACGAAGAGGAAGCCACAGCTGGACAGCCGTACTCACCATGCCTATTCTCTTGACAAAGTCAAAAGAAAGACGGTCAAGAGAGGAGGGGGAATCATAGACCAGAAAACTCAATAACACAGAAAACCTAACACACTCGGCAGCGAATTTAGACAAGGGATCTGACGGTTTGGAAAAGTTTCCTGACCGTTAAGAAATGAGGAATACTGTAAAAGAAACAATATTATGTTGATCAGCGAACGCTAGTTACATAAAAGTATTAGCTACGATCAACATTGCTATCGGACTTGTACTAACAATCATCTTTAACTCTACATATGACTGTAGCATATCCATTTTGAAACGATAAATCGCCAGCAGCAATTCTATGACAGCCCTTTTCATTATTGCATGGAGATTGTGAGTCAGTTCTCTAAACGAAGGAGCTTTACAGGAAATGAATAAACGTTGTACTGATTCAATGGATGCACATTTCAGAACATACAATAACAACAATGAAATGGATCGATAATATTTACTGTACGCTTTAGTCATTTTTTCTAAATTAGTATTCATTTTACAAACATCTGCCAGTGCATACTGTAGAATTTTACAGTAAAAGTCGAAGAATGAACACAGTTCCAAAGGTTATTAAAATATAAGCATCGTAACTAAGAAACTGAAGATGCAAAACTACAGAACTACAATAAACAACAGGAATACAGCTGAATTTATTCGAACTAGAGAGATTAAGAAGTCAAATCGCAGAGATCATTTCAAAGACATCTTGTTTGAAAGATTTTAAAGAATGCATCAACCATTACCTTTTGACAGGTGAAAAATATGACTAATGAAATCAACATGCATAACATTCAGTGAAAAGAACGATCGGCAGATTTATTCATGCATGACATTATTTTTAAAATTAAATTGCAAAATGGGCGCCGCCCGCGAATCAGCGATGATGCAGGCACCCATTTTTCATACGAATCATTTACTTCTTCTTCTGTCGCATGGCTGGAGGAGATGACTAGAAACTTTATAACTCAATGTTAAGATTTCTAAGCCAGTGAATGGCAATCGCAGCAGCATTCTGGACTTCAATTATGCTGCCGTCGAACTTTCGCAGCGGACATTCGGAAATAATGCGCTGCATAGTCTGATCTTCATGACTGCAGTCATACCGCGGGTTGGACTTCTTCTTCCAGCAATGATGTAGGTGTCCTCAGCATCCTTGTCCTATTCGAATCCTGTTTAATCTCGACCATTATAGGCGATTCAAGTCCATGCCAGGGGGTTCTGTAGACGGACTGCAGATTAGGTCTTTGATATGGACAGCTGTAGGGTCCCACTTTGCTCGCCACCGTACCTCGAGACTCAGACGCAGCGTCGTTGCCCGTTCCAATGGCGGGGTGGAGTGATTTCAGGCATGGTGCTGGTGGCTGTTTGAGAACACGATGGATGGGTAACTGGCGATTCCTATAAATGTTCTGGAATATGGCCCCTCCGGAGGTGATGGGGTTCATTATGCGCCAGAACCGGTAACCATTGTGTTTGGATTGGCTTCAGGATTACTGTTACTATTCGCATCGCTTCATTGAGCTGCGTGTCTAATATAATGCGTGTGGCAGCTATAGCACCAAACAGGGGAACCATACTCCGCAACAAAATACACAAGTGCGAGGGCCGTCGCAAGCAGCACGCGGGCGCCTGCTCTCCAGGAGATGCCAGCAAGTTTTAGTAACAAGTTCATTCTCGTCTTAATCTTCTGTTGTGTCTTTTCCAGATGTGGCTTAAATGACAGGGTTTGACCAAGAGTGATTGCAGATATTTTAGCGTCGTTTCGTACTGCATGTGTTGACCTCAACTCAACTGAGAGTTTCTCCTTGACCAGTTGTTTGTCCAGATGGAAAGCTGTCGCGTAAATCTTCATCAGGTTCGGGTGTAGCTTCCACTGGTCAAAATACTGCTTCATAACAGCGAGGTCAGACGTGTGTATGGAGCTTAGCATCGTAAGTCGGTATGTTTGTTTGCTAGCGCAACATCATCGGAATAAACGAACTTCTCTGACGCTCTTGCTGGGAGGTCGCTGGTATAGAAGTTCAACAGCGATGGAGAAAGTACTGCACCTTGTGGGAGTCCGTTGTTAAGGATCTTTTCCCTACTCACCCGCTCACTAATGTGGATCCGGTACCGACGGTCGCTAATCATGGCTGCGAAGTGTCTTGTGGCACCTGATTATTTTAAAAACTGCAATATGGAACCACCATGCCAGAACATATCATAAGCAGATGATAGATCGATCAAAACCACCTCTTTTTGCTTTCGTTGGAATCCTGCCTCGGTGAAACTGATAAACTTACTCGTAACAACTGCGTCTAGATCGAAAGCCAGCTTGTTCCACTGGGAGGGCGGCTTCAATTACAGGACAGCCGCATTGATGAAGTTCGCTCCATCAGTTTCCTGGTTGTACACAATAAAGAGATAGACTTGAACCGTCTGGCTTCTCTGGAGATTTTCCTTGCATTAGGAGGGCGACTAATCTGGCACACCACCAGGCGGACGGAATTTTTCCGGTTGTATTAAATGCCGTGAAAAGAGAAGGTCAGACACTATCGGCCCTTTGGACCCAAGTTCTAAAGAAATTCCGGGAAAATTTCATCTACACCAGCAGACCAGCAGCCTTCTTCTTGTTCTTCGTGGTCAACAGGTTGCTATGTTTATTTCCTCTAGAGTATAAGTAGTGGATAGTGGCCTTGTTTCAGGGCAGCTGTTAAGGGCAAGAAAATATTATTTCTGCACTGTCGTGCAGACGACTTTATCTGTCGGTGTTTTAGACGTATGGAGGAGGTGAGCAGCAATGGCGTCAGCGGAGACTTTCGCTACTCGGTGCTTTGTG